GCGAGACCGATTCGGAGGAGCTCCAGGCGTCCATGTGGTCCGTGGCGCTGATCGCGTTCACGGAGCCCGTGGGCTTCGGCGCGTCCTGCCTCCTCGTGTTGCTCCTCGGCTTCAACGTCTTCATCCAGGTCTTCTTCCTCTACATCGTCATCGAGAACCTCACGGAGCCGCAGGTCGGCGATTCGACGATCCGGTCGCTGCGGACGTGGCGCTTCAACGTCGCGCACAACGCCGAGTACTACGACGACCGGTCGCGCCAGTCCCTCGCGCGCCGCGTCTGCGACGGCGACGCGGGCCTCGAGACGTCCGCGGCCCAGGCCGTCCAGTACGAGTCCTTCGCGCGCTACGCGGGCGCGTCGCTCGACGCGTCGCCGTTCGCGCCGGGCCCCTGCATGTGCTTCGTCGCGTTGGTTGTTTGGGTGCTGACCATCGCCGGCGAGACGAACGACGCCTGGGCCCACGCGCGCGCGCTTTTTCACGCGCCCGCGGGCCCGCGGACGCTGGTCGTCGAGGGGGAAGACGGCGCTTCTTTCTCTTCCGTGTCGCGGGGCCGCAGGGCCGCGGCCGGTTTCGTGCTCGTCGTCCGCGTCGTCGTCTGCGGCTTCCTCGCGTACTACGGCGGCGTCTTCCTCGCCGTGACCATCGACATCGAGACGCTCCTGCTCAACACCGTGGCCCTCGAGTTCGTCCTCGGCGTCGACGAGCTCATCTTCAGCTCGCTCGCGCCCGCGGCGGTCCAGGCCTACGTCGACGGCTTCGCGGGCCTCGCGGTGCCCAAGGCGCGGTCCTGGCGGGGCCTCGACGCGCGGTCGCTCGCGACGCTCGCCGCGGCCTTCGGCGCGGTCCTCTACTTCGTCTTCCTCGTGGTCCTGCCCCAGACGCGGGACATCGTCGACGCGCGCGACGCGCTCTGCGCGGGCGACCGCGACTTCGTGTACGCGACCGACGGCTTCGGCGTGCCCGTCTGGGGCTTCCCGCCGGGCTCCGGCGGCGCGGGCGGCTACCGCGAGCGCAACTACCCCGACGGCGGCGACGTGCCCTACGTGGCGGACGAGTTCAACCTCGGCTCCAACTACGGCTCGTTCGGCGGCGCGACCGTCGAGGCCCTGCTCCGCCAGCTCGGCCGCGTGCCCAACGACGACTGCTGCTACGGCGACGGCGCGGACGCGGTCTGCGGGTACGGCGCGCCGCCGTCCGCGTGCACGGAGGACGACGGCTCGCCCTACGGCAAACCGCGCGACGACGCGCCGGGCTGCTGCCTCGTCCAGAAGACGGCGGCCCAGGACGTCGTCGGCACGGACTACTCCGTCGCCACCAAGGCCGCGTGGTCCGTCGAGAAGGCCGTGGCCATCTGGAACCCCATGTGCTACGACGCGCTCGACCTCGGGCTGCCCTACAACCAGCTCCTCGCCGCGGCCATCGGCGACACGGTCGACAGCGCGCCCTGCGGCGGCTGCCCGCCGAACGCCGCCTACTGCGACGGCGAGCGCTGCGTCACGCCGCTCTGCGCGGACGTCGCGGGTCACTGCGCGGCGAACACCCAGACGGGCATCCGCGCGCGCCAGCTCTGCCCGCAGACGTGCGGCTGCAACGACCCGCGGTCGCCGCTCGCGCTCTTCGACGGCGCCGCGGGCTGCGGCGACCAGTGCACCCGGAGCGGCGTCTACCGGTCGAGGCTCGACGAGCTGCCCTGCGAGGACGTGGCGCGCGACGATCCCGCCTTCGTCGCGTTCTTGGACGACTTCGCCGCCGTCGCGGCGACGTGGCCCAGCGACTGGGCGGGCGGCGGCGCGACGTGGGTCGGCATCTTCCGGAACTTGGGCTGCGACGCGCTCGACGGCGACGGGGCCGCGATGGGCGTCCCTGCGTATCTCTTCGGCGCGAACTCCTGCGTCGAGGACGGCTGGTGGTTCGGAGTGAAGCCGATGTCGTACTGGTGCCCCGTGGCCTGCGGCTGCTACGCGGGCGACCCCCACTGCCCGACGTCCTGCCCCGCGCGAAACGGGTCCGAGCCCGACTGCCCGCCCTACCAGAAGCGCATGGCCAACTCGTTCCCCGAGTCGACGACCTGCGCCCTCGCCGTGGACTAAGGGCGCGTTAGTCCGGGGCCGCGTCCCCGGCGAGCGCGACGACGGCCGACGCCGACGCGCGGGGCACCGCGCCGCGGGGCGCGAGGGGCGCGACGTGGATCTCCGCCGCCGTCGCGTCGACGCGCGCCAGGGGCGGCGCGCGGGCCAGGATGGCGCCGAGCGCCGCCGCGTCGTCGTGGTAGGCCAACGTCACGTGGGGACGGTAGAACTCGAAGCTGTTCGCCGTGCCGTACTCCGCGAGCTGCGCGCGCCGCGCCGCTCGCTCCGCCTCGGGCAGCGCCGGGAGCCAGGACGGCTCGGTTTGTGTGCGTGCGATGACCGGTTGGGCCGCCACCACCACCTCGGCGGCGAGCGCCGCGAGATCGGCGCCGGTCGCGTTCCAGAAGGCGTACCTCCCCGCGTGGTGCGGCGGCCCCGCGACGAGCGCGAACGCGACGGGCGGGCGGGCCGCGAGCGCGCGCGCCAGCGCCGCGGCGACGGCCGCGGCGTCGCCCGTGAAGGCGCCCAGCAAGAGGGTGACATGCGGCGCGTGCGCAGACGTCGGCGACGTCACGTCCACGGCGTCGGCGTCGGCGCCGGCGGCGACGAGGCCGGCCGCCGCGGCGTGCACCTTTGCTTGCGTTGCTGCGTCGAGGCGCAGATGGATGTTCAGATCCATAATATTATTGAGAGGCTCTTGAGCAGGACCATGGCCTTGTGGCAATCTCTAAAAAAGTTCACTCAAAAGTTCAACTCTTAGGACAAAAGCTCAATCTCCGAGATGGGGCAGCCGAGGCAGCCTCAATGAACAGCCGCGTCGTCCATGCGCCTGCCGCGCTGGGCGCTCGTCGCCGCGGCGGCCGCCGAGGAGGCCTGCCGCTTCACGATCCCCATCCAGGTCGACGGCTCGCGGGAGGTGCACTACGCCGCCTACGATGAGAGCCGCAGCGCCGAGGACGCGGCCCGGGCCTTCTGCGCGACGGTCGGCGCCCTCGGCGGCGACTGCGTGGCCGTCGTCGCCGGCCACGTGGCGCGCCGCGCGAAGTGGCAGTGCGGCGGCGCGCACCCGCACGCGCCGCTGTCGCCCGTCGCGCACGAGCAGCTCGGGCCCGTGGACTACGAAGACCCGCCGCCGCGCTTCGACGCCGCCGGCGCGCTGGACGACGGCGTCGCCTACTTCCACGAGCACGGCTACGCCGTCTTCGCCGGCGTCGCCGACGGCGGCGAGGTCGCCGCGATCACAAACAAACTCTGGGACTTCTTCGAGGAGCGCTTCGGCGTCCGCCGCGACGACGTCGCGACGTGGGACCTGCTGCCGGCGAACGAGTACGGCATCATGCTCCAGTACGGCGTGGGCCAGAGCGACGCCCTCTGGCGCCTGCGCCTGAACCCGAACGTCTCGCGCGTCTTCGCCGCGGTCTGGCGCGACGACGACCTCCTCACGGATTTCGGCGGCGCGGTCGCGTTCCGACCCGTGAGGTGCACCGCGCGCTGGCGCACGCCCGAGCGCTGGTACCACGTCGACATGAACGCGGCGACCTACGACGGCTTCGAGTCCGTCCAGGGCTTTTTAGCGCTGTCGGACAACGCGGCCGAGACGGGCGGGCTCGTCGTGATCCCGGGCTCCGGCGCTTCCACCGCGACGTGTCCGCGCGCGCGGCGCAGTGGTGGGGCGTCAACGACCCGGACCACCAGTTCCTGCTCGCCCGCCCCGACGACCCGGCGCTGCTCGGCGCGGCGCCGAAATTCGTCGCGTGCGCCGCGGGCGACTTGGTGTTGTGGGATTCCCGTTTGCTCCACGCGTCGACGAACGCGCGCGTGCCCCACCGCGGCGTTTCACGCGACGCGGGGCGCGTCTGGTTCGACGACGACGCCGCCGCGACGCCCGGGGACCGGACGAAGCGCGCGCTCAAGCGGCTGGCGTCCATCGCGGGCTTCGGCCACTTCCCCATCGACGCGTCCTGCCTCAACGACACGGCGCCGGAGCTCCAGCGTTTGGTCGCGCTCGTGAGCATGGCGCCGCGGTCCAAGGCGCCGGAGGACGTCCTTGTGAAGCGGCGCGGCGCCTACGTCGGCGAGCAGACGACGAGCCACTGGCCCTTCCGCTTCGACGCGGACGCGCCGACGGAGAAGCCGACGAGGCGCGACGCGGACCTCACGCCGGCCATGCGGCGCCTCATCGGGTAACGAGAAGCGACTTAGCCGGCCCCCTCGCGCGGCCGCTTGAGGGACGCCGCGCGCGCGTCGTCGTCGGCGAAGTAGGCGTCGCTGTAGGCGCGGTCGTCGCGGGAGATCGCGTCCCGCGCGTCGACGAGCGGCCGCGTTTCGACGATGTCGTCGACGCCCAGGATATCATCAATAGCCCGCAGGCTCTTCGCCGTGGACACGGCGGAAATGGTGACGCGGCCCGGGAGCGGGTCCGCCGCGTTGAACGGACCGTAGGCCGCGGCCGGGTGGCGCCGCTTCGCGAGCATCTCCATGACGACGTACTTGGCGTTCTTGTGGTGGGCGTCGTAGCGGCGCGCGAGGCGCATGTAGTCGCGGAGCACGGCGAGGCGCGGCCGGCGGTCCGCGTCCGTCGCGGAAGATGGCGGAACAATCCAACAGCGCGGGCCGCGCGACGAGGACGCCGTCCGCGCGCCCCTCGCCGGCGCAGGCGGCGGCGACGGCCGCCGGCGTGTAGAGGTCGCCGTTGGCCAACAGCGCGCAGTCCTCGCGGAAGGCCGCGTGCTCCGAACGCAGCCGGGAAAAGAGGCTCCGCTGGCTCGGAAGCTGCGGCGGATCTTTGGGCGGGTCGTCGCCGACGTAGCGGCAGTGCACGGCGATGGCCGCGGCGCCCGCGGCCTGGAGGGCGCGGCAGACGTCCATCGTGGCCGCCTCGGTCTCTCTCAGACGGATCTTCGCGGTCACGGCGACGTCCGCCGGCGTCGCGCGCCGCATCGCCTTCACGATCGACGCCGCGCGCGCGGGGTCGCGCATGAGCGCCGAGCCCATGCCGTTGCCCGCGCTGAAGGGCTTGGGGCAGCCCATGTTCAGGTCCACGCCGCTCGCGTAGCGCGCGACGGCTTCCGCCGCGCGCGCGGCGACGTCGCCGTCGGCCGCGCCGAATTGCACCACGAGGCGCCCCCGCTCGCGGGCCGGGTCCACGCGCAGGGCCACCGATTTGCCGTTGGCGTCGAGCCAGTCCGCCGTGCCGAGCGTCTCGTTCAACCGGAACTGGGTCACGTCCATGCGCCGCGCGATGAGCTCTTCGGAGTAGACCATGTCCGCGCCGCTCTCGAGCGCGAGGATGCGCAGCGCCGTGCTGTTGGCGCGCACCATGGGACCGAGGCATTTGATCGGTGTTGTTGCGTTGGGCTTCGGCGGCCAGAGCCGGACGACGTCGTCTGTCATGGTGGCCGACTCCAAAGTGGCCGCCATCGCTTTGTTGCCACAAAAAAGCCGACAGTGCATCACGCGGAGCCGAGCCGAGGCCGTGCCGCTCCGCGTCGCCGCGCCATCGGCCGCACGACGACCATGCGCACCGTCGCGTCGCTGCTCGCCCTCGCGTGCTGCGCGTCGGCGGCCCACGTCTCGTTCAGCGGCTCCTTCCCCGCCGACGGCGGCGGCGCGGCGTCCATCGCCGGGGAGGCCCTGGGCCGCTGGGCGGCGACGCTGGGCGCCCCGCTGAGCGCCGACGCGGGCCTCCCGGCCACGGACCTCCTGAGCCCCCCGAGCCGCCTCGCCGTCGTCGTGGCGCCCGTGGCCGCCGGGGCCGCCGGGGCCGGCGGCGCCGGCGCGCGGCGGCTCGCGCCGGGCGGCGACGTCGCCGCGGCCGTCGGCGCGGGGCTCCGGTCCGCGGACGCGGCCGGCGGCCGCGTCGCGGGCGTCGTCTGCGCGGCCGGCGCCAACGCCGGCGCCGCGGGCGCGCTCTGCGACCGGTGGCTCCAGCCCGTCGACGGGAAGCGCGCGCTGCGGCGCCTCGCGGCCGCGGGCCACCCGCTCGAGGCCGCGGTCGCGGCCGCGGGCGGCGCCGTCGTCCGAGAGGGCGGCCCGGCGCGCGTGCGCGGGTCGGCGACGGGCGCCTGGCTCGACGCCGAAACCCACGGCGCGTTCCTCGGCGAGGCCGCGGGGCTCGCGGAGGTCGCCGCGGGCCCGCACGGCGACGCGGAGCGCCCGCGCGTCGACGTGCTCGTGGCGTCGCGGCTCGCGGCGCTGGCGCCCGGCGACGCGGCCGCGGGGCTCGCGATCCTCGAGGCCGTCGCGCGCCACGGCGCGCGGCCCGCGGCCTTCGTGGTCTTCGAGGACGACGACGACGCGCGGCGGCTCGCGGCGGCGTCCTGTGGCCGTGACGATTTTCGAGAGATTTGGGGTGGGAAAACAATGAGAAACCGTCACCGTCATGCTTGGTAGGCTCGCGGACGCGACGGCCGCGCCGACTTCCGCGGGGGATGACGACTATTACACGATCGACGACGTCAAGGAGTACCAGATCGGCCTCTGGACGGCCATCGCCCTCATCGCCGCGGCCCTGAGCGCCGTCGTGGCGCTGGCGACCATGAAGCCCGAGTACGACAGCCTCTTGTACTGCACGTTCCAGGCGAATGTGAACGCCCCCATGGGCAAGCACGACTGAGTTCAGGCGCCCCCCCCCCCCCGACCGCGGACCGCCCGCGACCGCGCCGCTAACATCCCGTGCCGCTCACACCCCTTACGCCGCGGCGCCTACTTGCCCCCGGCCTTGACGACCTTGGTCGCGCGCGCGTGGTGCTGGTTCTTGTCCTTCATGCCGAGGCCCCGGAGCGTCTTCCGCTGGAGCTCCTCGCGCGTGAGGGGCCGCTCGTCGTCCTCCTGGTCGCTCTCGTCGCCGGAGCTGAAGTCGTCCCAGGCCGGCGGCTGCACGGAGAGCCGCGACGCCGCGGGCTGGACGATGCCCGACTGGAGCGCGCTGTTGGCGAGGAGGTCGTCCTTCGTGGACTGCTGGGACGCGGCGTACATCTGGAGGATCTCCGTCGTGCGCTGCTCGATGATCTCGAGGTACTGCATCATGTTCGACTCCGTGACGCCCTGGTTGCCGAGCATCTCCTCGACGGACGTCGACGCGCAGCCGAGGCGGCTGAAGATGGAGTGGATGCCCGTCTTGAGCTGGTTGATGGTCTTCGTCGCGTTCTGGTGCTTCAAATCGTACTCGTCGGCCTTGGCCTCCGTCCGCGCGAGGCGCTCCTCGAGGTCCCGGAGGACCTTCTTCCGCTGCGTGTCCGTGGACACGCCCTGGCCCTTGTACTTCTCGATCTCGAGCTTCGTCTCCGCGATGGCGAGCTCCGACGCCTCGATGTCGGAGTTGAGCTCGTTGATGGAGTTGAAGAGCGAGAAGTTCTTCTGCTCGATGTCCTGGAACGTGTCCACGAGGTCCTTGATGGTCTCGACGCCCGTCGCCTCGCGGATCTTCGCGAAGGTCTCCTCGTAGGACACGACCTTGTCGTGGCTCAGCGCGAGCGGCGCCTTGTCCTTGTCGCCGCCGTACTCGAGGCCCGGCGCGGCGCCGTCGTCCGCGGCCTCGAAGTTCGCGGCGCCCTCCGACGGGTCGCCGCCGCCGGACCGCCGCGCGCCGCCGGCGAGGTGCTCCTCGCGGCTCTGGCGCCGCAGCTGCTCCCGGAGCTGGCGGTCCTGCTCCATGAGCTTGCCCAGATCGCGCCACTCGCGTTCGAACTCGGCCTTCTCCTTGTCGACCTGCTGCTTCAGCGCGACCATCTCGCCCATGGCGCGGTCGCTCCGCTGGTAGGCGACCTTGGAATCCTCGATGATGGCCGCCATCTCCTTCTTCTTCTCGTGCAGGTCCTTCTCGAGCTTCTTGTAGATGCCGTCGAAGACGACGCGCTCCTTCCGCAAATTGTCGATCTGCTCCCGGAGCTGCTTGTTCATGGCCAACGACTCGTTGAACTTCTGGAGCGCCTTGTCCAGCCGGTTCTCCAAGATGCGGATCTGCTTCGAGATCATGTCGTGGTTCTCCTTGGACGCGTTGATGCCGCCCATCTTCTGCCGCTGCTCGATGATCGTCCGCTGGGCCATGGCGATCTTGTAGTCGAGCTGCTCGATCTTCCGCCGCTCGCCCTCGATCTTCCGCAGGTACATGTCCGCCTCCATCTGGAGCCGCTGGACCTCGCCGCCCTGGTTGCTGTTCATGACCTGCGTGAGCCGCGACTGGCGGCTCTCGCGGGCCAGGTCCTGCTTCAGGGCCTCATTCTCGCCCTGGATCTTCTCGATGGCCGCGCGCACGTCCGTGCCGAGCTTGATCTTCGGGGCGCTCATGGCGGCGACTCACGGGCGCCGGTAGGGCGCGACCAGCGCGCGCTACCCGCGGGACGATGGACGGGCAGGCCAAGCCGGTCGGTAGCGTTGAATCGATGGATATCGGCGGCATCGTGCAGGTGCTGCACCTCCCCGCGAGTATGGAGTCGGTCCAGCCCTCGCTCCAGGACGTGGCGCGCTGCGTGGCGCAGCAGAACGGCGCGCAGCTCGCGGCGCTGCTCGGCGTGCTGGACCGGCGGCCGCTGCCGCCGAGCGTCCAGGGCTTCTGCGCGTCGGCGGAGCGCGAGGGCCGCGTCGACGACGCGGCCTACGACCTCGTCGGCGAGCGCTGGGGCCCCATCGCCGCGAAGCAGCTCTGCGCCCGGGCGGCGCTCGCGGCCGGCGACGTCGACCGCGCCTACGCGTGCCTCGTCGGCGGCTACAACGCGCTCATCAACGCGATGCGCGAGGAGACGGGCTGGGTCGTGCCCGTGCTGCGGCGCCTCACCTACGAGGCGCGCGTCGTCGCGGACCGCGCCGACGACGAGCGCCTCGCGACGTCGAAGCGCGCGCGCGCGGGCGCGGCCCCGGCCGTCGCGGCGGCCGCCGCGGCGACGGCGAACGCGGCGCGCTACGACACGCTGCGCGACGTCGAGAAGACGCTCAAGAAGGGCTTCAGCGCGTGCTGGAACGACCGCGGCGGCGGCGCGCCGGGGTCGCTCGAGAGCAAGAAGCGCGCGACGCTCTACGTCGTCGCGCAGCTCCTCAAGATCTACTTCAAGCTGAACCTGCTCAAGCTCGCCCAGCCGCTGATCCGGCCGCTGGAGGCGACGGCGGGCCGGTCCGGCGCCTTCGACTCGCGGAAGATCTTCCCCCAGGGCGACGTCGTCGCGTACCGGTTCTTCGTCGGCCGGCTCCGCATGTTCGAGGACCAGTACGGCGCGGCGGAGGAGCACCTCATCTACGCCTTCGCGCACTGCGACGCGTCGAGCCGGCGGAACAAGCGCGCGATCCTCGAGTTCCTGCTGCCCGTGCGGCTCCGCCGCGGCGCGCTCCCGCGGCGCGCGCTCCTCGAGAAGCACGGCCTCGCGGCGCTCGCGCCCCTCGTCGACGCCGTGCGCTCCGGGGACCTCGGCACCTTCAACGCGGAGCTCGCGAAGAACCAGATGGCCTTCGTGCGCCGCGGCACCTTCCTCCTCCTCGAGAAGGTGAAGATCCTCGTCTACCGCAACCTCTTCAAGAAGATCTACCTCGTCCAGGGCAAGGCGACGCAGCTCAAGCTCCACCTCTTCCAGCGCGCCTTCGCCTGGCTCGGCTGCCCGACGGACATGGACGAGGTCGAGTGCATCCTCGCGAACCTCATCTTCAAGGGCCTCATCAAGGGCTACATCTCCCACCAGAAGCAGACCCTCGTGCTGTCGAAGAAGGACCCGTTCCCGACCGCGGCCATCCGCAGCGCGACGCTCTAACCTCGTCTAGCCGGTGCGGGGGGGGAGGGGGGGGGCTAGCACGCGCCGCATGCGAAGACCCCCGGCGGTGATGACTAGGGATACATCAATAGTGCCGCACAGCGTACTAGTAAACAGAGAGCGTCTTCGTCCAGGCGCTCCGGGAGCGCCGGCGCTGCCCCCAGCCCTTTCCCGAACGTCGATGATGGACCCGGTCCCGGCGTCGTCGTCGCTCATGGGGGCCAACGTCGGCGAGTGCAACCTGAGCGACGTGAAGCTCAAGCTCGAGGCCGCCCGGAACCAGCCCCTGCGGTCCGCGCCGAAGATCACGGGCTTTCTAGGCAAGGGCATCGGCCTGCGCACGTGCTTCTTCGACATGGTCGAGCCGACGTCGACCGTCGTCGACCCGACGGTGAGCCTCGGCGGCAAGACGCTCGCCGTGGACCTGGCGAAGTGGCTCGAGGACCCGACCGGCCGCGGCGAGCACAAGCACCCGCACCTCAAGTTCCTCGTGTCGTGCGCCATGTTCTTGCTACGGCGCAACGTGCGCCTCGTCTTCGTCCTCCCCCACGCCGGGCCCAAGCCCGTCGAGGACGCCGTGCCCCTCCTCGCGGCCCTCGGCTGCTCGTGGGTCCGCGCGCGCAAGGGCGAATCCGTCACGCCGCTCTGCGTCGCGCTCGAGCAGCTCGGCCTCGCGGACGGCATCATCACGTCGACGCCCGAGGTCTTCCTCTACGGCGCGCGCGTCGTCTACAAGGCCACGTCCTTCTGCTCCCTGCGGGAGGGGAGGATGCTGGAATATCGCGCGGATTCGCTCCACGACGCGCTCGGCGGCGCGGACACGGACCCGGAGCTCACGCACCGGCGCCTCGTGGCCTTCGCCGCTTTGGTGGGCTGCGAGCGGAGCGGCGGCAACGGCCTGCGGCTCTCGCCGTCCAAGGCCATCGAGTTCCTGAGGGCCGTGCCGGAGGGCGACGACCCGCTCGACGCCTTGCGCGCGTGGGCCGACGCGTCCGGCGCTTCCCTGGCGTCGCCGTCGTCCGTCGCCGCCGCGCCGGCGACCTTCGCCGAGCCCGCCGCGGGCGCGCGGCCCCTCGGCGAGCAGGCCGAGGGCGCGTACGTCAAGGGCGCGTCCATGGTCCACGATTTGTGCGGCCGGGCGACGGTGCCGCGGCGGCCGAACCTGGAGATGCTCCTGGACCTCCACGCGTCCAAGCCCTTGATCGGGCTGCCCCAGGACCGCCAGGAGACGGCGCTCCAGCTCAAGCGCGACTGCCTGTCGCTCTGCGCGCGGCTCGAGGTCGTCCACCCGGGCCTGCTGCCGCCGCACCCGCACGTCGACCCCCGAAACCTCGCCGCGGGGCCCAAGCCGGCGTCCCACGTCTTCCCCGCGGCCTTCGCGCCGTCGACGGCGACGCGCGAGGGCCGGCGGAAGCTTCGCGCGGAGCTCCCGGACGGCGACGCGGTCCGCGTGCTCTGGAAGGTCCAGGGCGGCCGCTCCTTCTCGACCGTCGAGTCCAAGGCGGCCTTCACGGCCGTCTACCCCATGCTCAAGCAGCAGAACTGGGCCAACACGTACCAGCTCCGCGGCCTCCTCGGCTACTAGGCCCCCCTGTCGCCGCGTTCCCCCGAGTCCGCGCCAGGCCCCCGTCCGAACCCCGCCCCGCCCCGCGCCGTCCTGTGATTCCTGTGAGCCCGACGCGCGGCAACTGCTGGGGCCGGGGGCGGGAGGCTTCTTGAACATCAAGATGACTTCAAGGTTGGCATTTGAGGTGTCTGCGAACAATGGCAAAGAACAAAGTCTACTACTGGTACGCCGCGAGCATGGCTCGGAACCACAACAAAGGTATACTCGCTCACTGTGTGCTGACACTCGTTGCACGACGCGTCGCGCCGCTGCACGCACCGATAGCGCATCAACGCGCGACGCAGCGGCGCGCGACGCAGCTGCGGTCGGTCGCGCAAGACGTCTACGCGCGCGCACCGCCGGACGAGCGGCGCGCCGCGCAGCACGCGCCGCCGCGCGCCCGGTCCCTGCGCGACGAGCTGCCGGGCCTCGCGCGCATGGCGCGGCCGAACACGCTGCCCATGGGCGCGGCGCTCGTCGCCGCGGGCGCCTGGGGCACGCGCGGCGCGCCGCCGGCGGCGGCGGACGTCGGCTCCGCGCTCCGGCTCGGCGTCGCCGTCGCGTGCACGACGATCGTCACGGCCGGGTCCATGCTGATCAACGACTACTTCGACCACAAGCACGGCGTCGACACGCGCGCGACGAAGCCGGACCGGCCGCTCGTCGCGGGCGACGTCCGGCCCGCGACCGTCAAGCTCGTGCTCAAGTGGGCCTACGCGGCGCTCCTGGCGCTCATCTGTCTGATCGACACGGCGACGATGCGGCTCTGGGTCCTCGCGAACGCGCTCGCGACCTACGTCTACACGCGGCACCTCAAGCCCGTGCCGGTGGTCAAGAACGCGGCCTGCGCGGCCGTCGTCGCCATGGCCGTCGGCCTCGGCGGCCTCGCGCGCGGCGGCGGCGTCGGGAGCCTGGCGCCGCTCGGCCCGGCCATGGCGGCCACGGCGGGCCTCATCTGCCACCGGGAGATGCTCATGGACTGCAAGGACCGCGACGGCGACGCCTCGGCGGGCGTGCGCACCGCGGCGGTCGTCTTCGGGCGGCCGCGGGCCGCGGCGCTGTCGCTCCTGCCCCTCGCCGGCGCCGTCGCCGCGTCCCCGGGCCGCGCCGCCGCGCCGCTCCTCGCCCAGGCCGCGCTCGCGCTCCGGGCCGCGCGGTCCTTCGGGCGCGCCGAGCTCCGCGACGCCATCGAGCTCGCGCCGCTCTGGCTCGCGGCGACGCTCGTCCTGCTGCTCGCGTAGGCGTACCCTCTAGAGGATGCGCTCAGACAGATCCACGGGTCTCGCCTCGCGGCTTTCCCGGAGGGCCTTCGATGGCAGGAGCGCAAGGCAGCCTTGCTCGTGCCGACGCTGGACTTACGCCGCGGCCGGCTGCCAGCCGCGCGGCGCGGGGGGGGCGGCGCGCGGCGCCATCGCGTCGGCCCGCGGCGGCGGCTCCGGGCGCGGCGGCGGGCAGGACGCGGCCGTCGGCCGCCGCGGCGCCGTCGCGCGCGGCGGCGCCTCGAAGCAGCCCCAGAGGCCGCGCAGGAGCCGGTGCTTCGCGAGGGCCGCGTCGACGCCGGCCGCGTCGCCGCCGACGAGGAGGTCCTCGAGCGACCGCGGCGCGTGCGCGCGGTAGAGCTCCTGGGGCCGCGTCGCCGGGCAGCCCGGCGCCGCGGCGGCCGCGACCCAGTCCCCGGCGCCGCACCGCGCGGCGAGCTCGGCGTAGGACGTGTCGTTGGCGACGCGCCGCGCCGCCGCCGCCGGGAGCCGCGCGCCGCGCCGGCCCGCGAGGCCGAGGAACGCGTCGACGTCGCGGAGGATGGCCGGCCCGTAAATTCCGTCGGCGAGGACCTCGTAGCGGACGAGGAGGGCCGTGGCGTTGCCGCCGACGCGGTCGAGGACGTGGTCCCGCAGGAGCCGCGCCTCCGCGAGGAGCGCGAAGCTCACGTCCCACGCGAAGACGCGGTCCGGGAGGTCCGCGCGCGCGCGCGCCTTGCGCTTCAGCTGCTCGCGGTAGCGCAGGTGCGACGCGGCGCGGAAGCGCGGGTCCCGCAGCACGACGACCGACCGCGGGCAGTCTTTCTGGATCGGCGCGTGCTTCCTGCCGTACGCGAGGACCGTCGGCGCGCCGGCCCGCCAGGCCGCGCGCGCGTCGTCGTCGGTCTTGGAGAAGCGGCAGCCCGCCTCGGCGGCGCACGCGTCCTCGAGGACCCGGGAGAATGCGAGCTCCGAGAACGTGGAACCGCTCTGGGGGAGCGCCTTCAGGCACACGCGGCCGCCGCCGCGCGCCGGGCCGACGGGCGCGAAGGCGGCGCAGCTCGCGCCGCGCTTCGCGAGGCCCGCCGCGAGCTGCCCGGACTCGGCGGACAGGTCGCAGCGCACGAGCGCGTCGTCGCCGCGGGCGACGCCCGCGACGAGCGCCAGCAGCGCGCTACGCCTCATCTCTCATTGCCAAAGGGCTGCAGGCATCCGTTCCATTGCGATGGGCAACGTAGATGCACCATGGTGCACCATCGGCCGCAACCGTGCAAGTGCTTAGCACCGCCTCATCGGCGTCCGCGTCCGCGCTCGACGTGCGCGCGACCTCGCAGCTCGCGACGCGTCGCCGCCGTCGACGAGGGAGCCATGCTCGCGCTCGCGTTCCTGCAACAACGAGAAGCGCGGCGTCGCACGGCTCCGCCGACGGTTCGCCGCTTCAGCTTCTACGACGTGCTCGAGGTCGACGCCGACGCGTCGCAGGCCGAATGCAAGGCGGTGCGACCCTTTGTCCCGGGCAACCATCCCCGACGCACCGTCGTAGGCCTACCTGCGGCTCGCGAAGCGCTACCATCCCGACGCGAACCCGGACGAGTCCGCGGCGACGAAGTTCAAGGCCGTGTCCGAGGCCTGGGAGACCGTCGGCGACCCGGAGAAGCGCGCGCGCTTCGACGAGCGCCTTAGCAGCGGCGTCCGCGGCGGCGGCGGCGACGCCTGGGCGAAGCAGCGGCGCGACGCGCGGCGCAACGCCTTCGGCAGCGACTCGCGGAAGCTGACGCAGATGGAGCGGCTCCTGGGGCCCCGGGGCCTCGGCGCCGCGGCGGCGGCGCTCGCGCTCGTCCTCTTCTTCAGCTCCGGCGCGCGGGCGCCGGCCGTCGACGAGAGCCTCGTCAGGGACTGCTGGATCAACCCGCGCACGCGCCGCGTCGAGCCGCCCGCGCCCTGGGACCCGGACTACAAGAAGGCCAAGGCCGCGGGCCAGACGCGCACCGTGAAGCGGAGCGAGCTCGGGTAACCTCCGTTTTTTTGGGATCGGGAGCTGGTCAGATGAGCTGGTCTACTTGCTGGTCTGGTGCGAGTTGCGGCCGGCGGTGAAGCGTATTGAAGCGTGCACGCTGGGCTATGGCTCTTCGGGCGCCATGATCTTCGCGCGGCTGCTGCTCGTCGTCGCGGGCGCCGGCGGCGCCTCGCTGACGCGCGAGATCGCGGCCGCCGGCGGCTGCGGTGCGGTCTGCGGCGGCTTCGCGCCGGGCGACCGGTCGCCCCAGACCTGCGCGGCGTTGCGATTGTCGGGCTGCCACTGCGGCGGGGGCTGCGGCGGCCGGTCCCTCGCGGGCAACGCGTCGGCGGCCTGCGCCGGCGTCGTCTCCGGCGTCGACGCGGCGAGCGACGCCGCCGTCGCGGCGACGCTGGC